ATACGAGTTAAGAGTAACTCTCCATCACTGATCATCACCTTGTAACTTTCTCCTACAGCGCCCCTGGAAGAGCTTCATCACCCGCAACTACAGGGATACGACATATCCGCCGACCACCTCTGTCTTCAATCAGCCCTGATATGCTGAAAACAGAAATCGCAAAGAATGTGGCCGAATCGACGAGCGGGGTATCCCGACGGTTCACCGAAAACGCGTTCACAGAACGACCATTCACAGAGCGACGTTTCACCGAAAGACATTTCACAGAGTGTAAGATTTAGCGACTGTTCATTTCGCCGAAAATCAGGTTCACAGAAAACAGGTTCATCGAGACCATGTTCACCGAATATCGGTTCACAGAATAGCAGTTCTGCCGAATAGCAGCTTCACCGAAAAAAGGTCGCTGATGACATCGATATAATTATATCGCATTCGAATCCTCTAAAGAATACAAGTTTCACCACATAACAGTTTCACCGAAAACATGCCACTAATTCCAGCGACTCTGATATACATCGAATTTGAGTCCTTTTACTTGTGAAACAAGCCCTTGCTTTCATTCCGCTGGGAGACGGTGCGCATTACTTTTAGTCACTGGAAGCCGACTTTCCTCCCGAGGCGGAGGAAGTATTAACGTACTTTGAAACTTACTACATAGGCAGTCTAAGAGCTAATGGGACCAGAAAAATGCCTTTGTTCCGGCATGAGTGGTGGAAAGCGCACACAAGAACGGCTAATGGAGAACACAGAACGAACAACATCCAGGAAGGTTGGCATCGCCGATTTTCAGCTGAAGTAAACTGCCATCATCCGACATTGTGGAAGCTGATCGAGAACATAAGGAGCTAGCAACGAAGCACTGAAGAAAATCTGGAAAGAATGCATACTGGGCAAGATGGGCCAACAAGGAAGGAGCGGTACAGGAAGGTTGATCAGCGCCTGCGCACTGCAGTGACCACATTTGAGCAATGCCCGCCACTGGAGTTTTTGCGTGGTATTGCCCATAATCTGGCTTTCTTTGTGGAGCCGTGATGTGATTATTTCCATCAAATCGCACCACAAGACTTAGTCTTCTTCTCCAGTGTTGTTTTGGATTTTATTTCATTGTGTTAGTTTTAGCCGAAAAGAGAGGCTTGAGTACCTTTCACCACACATTTTATAAGCGGCCATGACTTTGGGTCAATTATAAGTAATTTTCGGTGAACTGTCCATTCGGTGAAAAAATGCGTCTGTGAACCGGGATTCGACGAAACAGAATTCTGTGAATAAAAATTCGGTGAATAGATATTTCGGTGAATCTGCAGTGGCGGTGAACTTTCATTCTGTGAAATGTCTGTCGTTCTGTGAATGGTCGTTCTGTGAACGCGTTTTCGGCGAACGGTCGCAGATCTACGAGCGGCACCTTCCAGTCGCTGGATGAATCAGCATCAGCGTTTCGCGACAGCGTCCTGTTGGCCGTAAACACGCTGTGTCCACTACGGCCCTGTCGCAGTCAGAAATCACGGAAACCTAAGCCATCCCCGTGGTGTACACCAGCGCTAACAAATCTCTTCCACCGTCGCAAACATCTTCACCGCGCTGTTATGAGAAACCCGACAGACACCCAGCTCTTGCACCTGTACCGTGCAGCAAGAAGAGAAGGCACGCTGCCTAAAGAATCAATATTTAGTAAGGGAGTTCTCAGACTGCCGAAATGATCCTCGCCGCCAATGGAAACTGCTCAACAAACTCCTTGGTCGGAACACAACTCCAACACCTCTCAAAGCCGAATGGTCTAGCCTCACCAACTTCTTTGGATCGGTCGTCTCTGACCCAGAGCGACCTCCTTCCCTGCAAATCCCCCAAGGCCCCCGACAGCTCACCAGTTTCGAAAAATTCCCCCCTGTCACTACCACTGACTCGGAAGTCGGCAAGCTTCTCAAGAAGATCTCCCCTTTCAAATCCACCGGATCCGACGAACTCCCACCCCTTCCTCTGAAGATCTGTGCAGAAGATCTAGCCGGTCCCCTCGAGATCTGTCTCATTTTCAACGAATCACTCTCCCTCGGTTCCTTTCCAGACATAATAGCGTCTGTATTCCCCCTCTTCAAGAAAGGCAATCCAGAATGTCCCTCTAACTATCGCCCCATATCTCCACTCCCCATCGTATCCAAGCTTCTAGAAAAGATCGTCCTTCATCAACTGCAGCGCTATATCAACACCCACCCAGAGCTCAACATCCTTCCTCCCCAACAGTTCGCCTACCGCTCAGAACATGCACTTTCACTGGCTGTATCAAAGTGGCAACAACGCTTGGATGACGGTCAGAACGCTGGAGTGTTATTCTTGGACATGAGCAAGGCGTTCGACCGGGTCAATCAAATTACTAGTGTTGTAAAGTATTCGCAGCCATACCTCTTTGCTGACGATGTCACTCTTCTCTTTAAGCATGGTACATCATCCAGTTCCAACAACCAGCAGATGTTACAGACTGATCTGTCCAACTGCCAGACCTGGGCCAAGTCAGTGGGTGGCACATTCTCGGCTGAGAAGACAACAGTTCTCTCTCATCCGTCTAAAGCAACTTGTCCCCCATCATTGCAGATTGATGGCATCGACCTTTGTCGCTCAGACACTTGTAAGCACCTCGGTGTGCAGCTGACGTCGTTGCTGCAGTTTGATGCCCACTACGACACCATCCACACCTCTTTCTCTAGGAGAGTGCATCTGCTATGCTTCATGGCACGGTCTCTACCACCATCTGTAACATTATTGCTATACAAACAGTATGTTCGGCCTGCGTTAGAATATGCAATTCCGGTCTGGCATTGCCGCATGACTGCACAGCTACTTTCAGCATTGGATGTTCTGCAGGCTAAGGTATGCCGCGCCTTTTTGCGGAAGAAAGCGGTTCAGTTTGACACACATGTAACGAAGGAAAATCTGAATAAGTTATGTTTACTAGAGTCTTTGCATTATAGAAGGCAACACATCTCTCTTGTCCTCTTCAAGTACGTTAATGTCTATCCCCACTACTTATCTAACTTTGGTATACATATCACAACCAGTGCACGACGTCCCAATAAGCTGATATTGACAAACCATGGACAGCGCTGTTCAAATCTCTTTTTCCATAAATACAGCACCCTCTGGAATTGTCTGCCCCCTAAGATCACCTCCTTAACCAGTTTAAGCGAATTTAAGCAAGAACTGTACAAACAGTTTTACGAGCATTGGTTTCACTGCAGTGGAATTCCGTTGAATACGTAGCGTCACATCATATCGAAGCTTATCTCTGGCACATCTTTTTCATCATTTACATGTATTATCCCAGTTCTGCGAGCTTACAATCATAATTATGCTCAAGCGCAGAGCTCTGCCCTAGACTATTTCTTTTTCTCTTTCTTTGCTCACCTATTGCTCATTACTTCTTTTACAGATTTGGTATTATGGAAAGTTTGGAAACCCCCTTCGATAGGCGAAAGCCTTTGGGGAATCCATAAACAATAAAAATTACAAAACAATTACAAATTACATTTTGGGCAACCTTCTTCAGCATACTTGCCGTGATGTCACGCACTTCGTTGTGACGGATGGATGGAAAGGAAACCCTACCGTCGGACAGGAAAGTATATGGCAGGTAGTGAGCCTGGCACCACAGGAGCAATCTGGCGGCTGACGGTCTGGCAACCAATTGCACCGGAGCCCCGTCGCGGAATTCACCCTTAATAGGCCATTCACACGACGGGCAAACTTACTTTTATCGTACCGTTTACTCGGATACGATAAACTTGGACACATGCGCGTGCATGCAACTGATTTTTTATCTTGGCCGAGGCCCTTTTGCTCGCAATTATCTTTGCACGCCAGGAAAAGTGTCGGTTGTTGAAAGTCCGTACTGCAAATGCAGTGCTTGAACAAGGACAAGGGAAAATTCAAAATTGAACATTTCCCGGCATTTTCAAGAGGTCACTATGGATACATTGACGGTTGCGAATTTTTCCCAGCACCGTGTGAACTGGGTCACGGTTTGCCAGTGTCACACGAGTGCAAGTGTTAACACGTCGTGTGAATGGCCTATTACCAAGAGTCCATAAAAACTGTTTATGCACTCTTGCTATTACTGAGAGAGAGAGAGAAGCCATGACGTGCGAGGGGCCTACAGGTCAGCCAACTTGAATCACCCTTCTCAGAGGCAAGTTGGAAGACACACTGCTGGTCGGCATCAATGGTAGCAGCAAGAGTTATATAACATAAAAATACTCAATCTGCGGAAAGAACTGTTTCGTCCTTTGTGGACTCATAAACACATAAAAATACAAATATTACACAGCATGAATCAAACAAGTCTCTTTCGGCTGTTACTCCGAATTTCGTGTCAAAACACTTCATCAGACAGCATAGTCTTGTTTGATTCATTGCTGTGTAATATTAATTTTGTATTACTGGCTCTGTCCACTGGACATTGAGCACTGTCAGGAGCCTAGGGACTTTAGACAACTGAGTAACATAAACAATCAATGGTTATGTACTCTTGGTAGCAGGAATCATCGTGACGTCAGCCCGCAGTGCATTCCGAGATTGGGAGGTGGCAAGACGCTTCTGGGTGCGGATGGACACCAGTGCATCACCCAGAGACGGGTCCTGGCGGAGAATCCGTTGCACTAGGGAATCGGTTATGGCAAGGGACGACTGATGCTGCAAAGCCATAAAGTTGGGGACGACGAGGCCCAGGCCACCAAAACGGCAGGGCAAAGCGAGCAGAGTGCGTTCCATGTTACTAACCGGACGACTCAACACAGCCGGGATGAACTTGCAAGTGACTCCCTAATAATAACAACAGTAAGTGGCCATTTTTGGGGTTTCCATCTGCACATAATATACAGTAGAGACTGACGTCTTTGGCTGGAAGTACACATTGTAAATAAGTCGCTCACATGACTGTATCAAAGAAGGCCCTCCCGCCTGTCTGTGGAGTGATTTAAAAACATTTCAACATCGATACACCATGGCATGAAGGTGGTAACAGAGTTGTATAACTGTGTGCGGGGTTAAGAATGCATGAAAAGTACTAACAAAGAAGTACATGCAGTGTAAATCTAGATTGAAGAGATTGAACTTCGAAAAGTCCCCATAGAAGGTGTTGAACATTGTCCGGTTCAGCACGCTTTCTTGATCTTCTTTCACTCATTCATTTGTGAGACACTCGTACTCTGCTTACAAGTGTGACGTCATACCTACAAACCACAAGGTGCCAGAAAGAAGACAAAGATCATAATTATTAGGATGGTAGAATAGGTTGGATGAATCGCCGAAAAATGACAAATGTCCTGCATGGGTGGGTAGCGCCATGGGTAGATAATACTGGGTTATGTACCAATGGTGCAATCAAGAGTACATAACCCCGAGAGAGAGAGAGAGAGAGAGAGAGAGAGAGAGAGAGAGAGAGAGAGAGAGAGAGAGAGAGAGAGAGAGAGAGAGAGAGAGAGAGAGAGAGAGAGAGAGAGAGAGAGAGAGAGAGAGAGAGAGAGAGAGAGAGAGAGAGAGAGAGAGAGAGAGAGAGAGAGAGAGAGAGAGAGAGAGAGAGAGAGAGAGAGAGAGAGAGAGAGAGAGAGAAAGACAGAGACAGGCACACAGACAGAGACAGAAGGAGACAGAGAGAGACTTGAAATCTGGTTTTCCCCTAAACAAGAAGAAGGCCCAAGAGAGATTAGGGAGGTTAGTTTCCACGTAACGGAAAGGCGTACGTAGGTGGTCCACGTAAAGTGGATGAAGGGCACCCACGTTGCAATGTTGTGTTTAGTCACACAGAACAAACAAAAGCATGACGCGAAAGGCCCAAACCAAACCAAAGACGAAGCTACCCGGGCCTAAGAAGCTCATCCAATATTTTGATTTCGTGCTTCGGAAACTCAGTCTTCACCTGAGCACCCTCACAGCTCGCACAATGGGCTCCATTCTGCTTTTCACCCACGTTCTGGCGGAAAGTGGGTGAGCCTCCATACACGGTATGTCGTGAATCAGAAAACATCTGTACGTGGGTCACTGAGTATCACGTGGTACGCACACGTAAAGTACGCACGGATTACGTGGGAATAAACCTCCCTATTATTTACCTTAAATCCGCCATGAACATGATCCAGTCAGTCCTCCCGGAGGACAGACCAATCTCCACCTAGAGAAGAATTCAGAACAAAGGCAGAAATGAACTCGGATGGAGAGCTAAGGATTATATATTTATAAAAAGTAGAACGTTGAACGTAGAACATCAGTATCGTCGATAAGTGTCGTGCAATGTTATCGCATGAGCTGATTGTTTAATAACTGGTGGCGTTTGTGGACATTATAGTGTAACTTGTAGTTCCTTGGTCCTTTCTACTTTTTATAAAGGCAGACATAACAAGCAATAATGCAGAGATGATAATTGGAAAGGGATAGCATGAACATGTCACGACAAACCCATGCACAAATCCAGAGGATGCGTCAGATGGAGGAATAATACCAAGAGTCCAGAACGTGCACTCTTGAAAATAATGATTACAACAAGTTTGTTTTGTTTATTTACGGATTCTCTATAGGTAAATGGATGCCTATCATGGGAGTCTCACCAAACCAATAAAATAATGAATGGAGTATGTACGGAGTGCAAAAAAACTCAAAACCTTCACTGGGAGAAGACCATCTGCCACCCACTCTCTTCACATCGACCGGCGTTTCCACTGAATCTGGGGATTTTGTTATAACTAATGAATAGACTTTTGATGGTACAAATGGACTCTTGATGGCATAAATGGACTCTTGATGGCATAAAAAGGACTCTTGATGGACTCAGCCTATACTAGCGTGGAGGCAAGTACGGAGAGCTGCCTGTGACGTTTCATTTTTAAGGCAGAAAATCCGTAACAAAAGATGCATGTCCCTTTGGCCCTTCGCAAGTTCATGTAAAATAGAAGATCCCCCAGATAGGCGTTGGCCTTCGGGTAATCCTGAAATAAAGACTATTATGTTACCGTGTAGCATAACAAGTACTATAGTATGCACGTGACCTGCACTTACGTCCACAGAGAACCAAGTAGGACTGCTTTCCGTCAGTAGGTGAAAAGTGTGGCAGGTCCAGATAGGCGGCGAAAGCGAGCGTGCCACCCTCCAAGATGAACTGAGGGGGTTCAGCAACGTTACGCCTGACGGCGAGATGATGGCCTCTAGCGCTGTCGACGAATGAACGGATCAATGAGATCTTGGTGTAGGCTAGGCGGATCTCCTTCGCTGTGAACAGCGTCAGGTTGACCAGTGCACACGCTTCCCGTGCAAACTCATAGGTGACTGATGCCGATCCAAGATACCCGACAGTGTAGTCACCAATCGCACCGTCTTGTTTAGCTCCGATAAACCATTCACCTGCGAGGGGAGAAGCAAACGGAAGATGTTGAACGCGTGAGTGTGGATGCGAGCCAGTTGCAGCTCGTGTTGAAGACCAGCTACGTAGCGCATGTCGTGAGCTAGTGTACAAGAACCAGTGCTAAATGTGTTTTAAGGCTCATGGTGGTAGAGAGATAGTTCGCATCCACCGTCGTATATGTACATGTACAAGTATATAAAACCGGTATGAGACTAAGCTCTCAACCTCTGCACTGCAACAGTGAGCTCTCACATCACAGGGCAATGATCAATAGGAAAAGCAAATGTTCTGTTGATCCCCGCCGCACAAGATCTCTCTACGCTAAACCATTTCAAACTCTCATTCTCATTCTCCTCCTCGTTAGAATAGACATGAATATTTCATCCTTATTCCCCCTATGGCCGTAGCCATCATCACATTCGCTATCATCTTATTGGGGTTCCTGCCCGTTTGAAGTTGCGAATTCAAATAAAATCCAATAACACCAAACAACAAACATACTCATACGTGTACTCCTGCCCATCGCTGAATGGGATGATAACGGACAAGACACGTTAGATGGACATAGCAACTTGTGGATTACGCCATTCAACAGCTGACAAGGCTGATGAGTTGACCGCCACGAGGTTTAGCCTAGTCGACACCAATACCAACACACACACACACACACACACACACACACACACACACACACACACACACACAAACACACAAACACCACACACACACACACACACACACACACACACACACACACACACACACACAAAAACACCTTACCTGAGCAAGCTACATTGTACTTCGTGTTCTTGGTTGGTGTCGTTAATATGGGTTTGCCATTTGGGCGGAGAGTGTAAATCTGGTCGTTGCTCTCCCAGAAACTCATTTTTGCTGCTGCTCCGCTGTCAAGGAGACTCTGGTGCCTCGCATAAATGGAGCGAGCGCAGGTATAGTGCGGATCTTCGTGGAAATGTAAGGTGGAGAAACCTCGCTGTTTGCATAAATCTTCAGCTTCTTCGAATGATTTGGCCAACAATTCTTGTCCAGCGATGCGAGGGGCTGCATCCAAGACGAATGACTGGTTGATGGAGGATACCTTACATAATTTTATGCCACCTGGAAAAAAACCCAAGGCAAATCGACATACGGGTAAACAGCATGCGACTATGTGCACTCCCACTTCGATAACATAGGATGGGAAGGTTTTTGTCGATTCCAAAATAATGATATCAATTTGGCAATTCTTGAACTAGGATATTGAGCCAGTGCAAAATAGAAGAATAAATCACATGGGAACGAGTTAGGAAGCAACTATCCACGATTGTAACAAGATAACAAGCAGTATGTTGCTTTGCTGCTTCGAATGTAATTGGACCGCATTGTGAAGTTATACTGGTCTCTTCGACCTTCGTTGCCGTGAGACTAAGTTTGCGCCCATTTCCGTTGCATTTCTGATTGCGTATTATCTTTTTTACAGTCCGTGGATAGTTTTCTTCAAAGCCATTTACAAGGCACCGCACTGTACGCTATTATCGTAGAGGAGCTCTCTCTCTCTCTCTCTCTCTCTCTCTCTCTCTCTCTCTCTCTCTCTCTCTCTCTCTCTCTCTCTCTCTCTCTCTCTCTCTCTCTCTCTCTCTCTCTCTTGTATTTCCTATCCTTGACGAAGTCGGGAAGTCGTGGTTTTTCGTTGTCGAATTGTTGCTAAACTGTCGTACAGAATAGTGATGATTCCAAACCAACATTCCGTGGAACCCTACAATGAATCTTGTGTTTTCTCAATCGCGCTTCAGATGGGTTAGTTAGCGCTATCATGCATTTTTAGAACGACCCCAACTGCCCTTTTCTACAGTAACACCAATGTATACACCCTTGAACAACGCCCCAAAGACCGGTGTATTTGTGTTTCCCTGCCTGAATGGCCTAACTTGCTCTCTCCTACAAGACCGCTTTACTCTTCGTGCTCACGGTGCTCACACTGCTGCCATTACCCGTGGTCAGGTGTCTGCTGCGCTTGTTTTACCCCCTGCTAGCACACTATGGTTTCAGTGCAATTTCTTACGTAGGCGCTGACTGGTGGAATGCACTGCTACCTGCTTACCGCCTTTCTAATTCACCTGCTGAATTTAGATCATCCATCAAGACGTTCTTAGGGTTCCCTGTAAGAAGGCTACGACGCCTGTTGGGAATTCCCTAGTAAAATAGGAATAAAAATAATAAAAAAGCAGTGCTCAAGCTCGCAATCGTGTCCTGGAATGTCTCAGTGCTCCTTTTTAGGTTTGTGCTAAATTATACAAGACTGACTCGGTGTAGTTGGTTACTAGTTGGAATCCATGCCCCGCAGTTTTACTCCGAACAGGAAATAGGGAGTTTTCAGACCTTAAGACCAATACGCGAATGTACTTACTTGCGTCCACAATCTTCGTGCAGCCCTCTCCAGCCCAGCCGGAGTTGCAGACACACTTTCCATCGAATATGTGGCCATTGTCACACACCTCTGAAACGGTCACAATCACAAGCAAAGCAACATCAATTGGGCTCACCGATAACAGTATCTTGTTTAAGACCACGCCACCACTCCCCTTATTCATGGCTCACACATGACGAGTTTACGTGGCTCTAGTAAAAAATAAAATAAAAAAGACTGATGATAAAGTCCACCTTATTCGTAAGCAGGATTACATTACTGGTTATGCAATTAATACATGCTGCATGGCGAAGACTTGGTTGGGAATGTCTAGGAACCAAGTGCATTGAACACGCTCTGCTGTTTGTGCAAGCCGTGAAATAAAATATTGTAGTGTCTTTGTATAAAAGGCTGTCTTGTATAGAAGCCTGTTTTGAATACAAGCCTGATGCACTGTTAGCACACAAGCCTAGTTTAGTGTTGACATACATGGAGATACGTGGTTTGAATAGAAGCCTGACTTGAATAGAAGCCTAGCACTAATATCGGCTTATACGGCCGTAGGCCGCGTGACCTGCTTTTATAGGCAACATTACGGTAGTGGTACTCACGGAAGCAGAGAATCTGGTACTTGTTAAAGTGAACGTCCCACTTGTTCATGGAAGGTGAAGGAGTCAACATTCGTTTAGCACCCTCCAGCCAGTAAGGATACAAAGCCCCTGGGGTTCGAGAAGCCATTCTTCGAAAAGCTGGCCAGAGCTGTCGGAGTTCTTCTGTGGGTATATCGCTCTCCGACAGCACCCGCTGGCCTAAAAGGGTGCATGCCTGTACTGCCCTGTCGTAGGTAACCCGATGGAAATTGAAAGGAGTTGCGAAATGATACTTTCCGTGCTGCACCATATTCCAGCCAACTGTAAGAAGACAAAAAAGGCGAAAAGCATGTGCAACAAAAGAAAACAATTGAAATCATGCACAGTGGACTGGTCGAACTACCGGTAGCCATACTCAGGAAGGCCTGTGACTCTGTGTGTCTATGTGCGTGTGTGCGTCTTCGCGCGCGTGTGTGTGTGTGTGTGTGTGTGAAATTGTTGGGTACATATTTAGTGCATTTGCAGATTTACGTGGTTCCCTTGCGACGTGCGGATATATGGTCATGGTACACGGTACATGGTGTGTGTGTGTGTGTGTGCGTGTGTGCGTGTGTGTGTGTGTGTGTGTGTGTGTTTTCCAATCGAGAGGTTGCGGGTTCAATTCCCGACGATTATGGTCGCACACGTCTTTCTTCTCTTTCTCATTCTCCTAGCTCCTAGCTCTTCTTTCATTCTGCTGGGTGGTTACCAACAGCCTAGGCCTCGACCAAAAAAAATAATGCTTGCGCATATTTCCGCATATTTTGTGAGACAGTTCATATAGCATATTGAGCGACAAAGGGAATATTGGAATGGAGCCAGCATATAATTAAAATATTCTGAAGAAAATGAGGACAAAACATTTTTATTACGGACAAAATTCGTTCAGAAATGCCTTTTAAGGATGAATTTGGAATGGTTGAGGCGTTTGCTACATTTCCCCATGGATGAACACTATCACTACGGTTGCTGGGGACACACCCCAGCCATACTATTCGGCATGTGTTTTGATTTGCACCATAAGCATGATAGCCGTGAAGCCAATGAATATTCCAAGGTTGTAATTTTACTGAAATGATCGACACTTTCTGCTTATGTCGAGCATATTTTGGCATATCTTTTTGCATATCTTGCTAAGCCTTTGGCATATTATGGACGTTTTCCCTGATATGCTCTTTTTTTTAGCATATTTGGTCGGGGCCTACAACAGCCAGTGTATGCTGGAGTATGTGGTGTGGCGTGAGTGTGTAAAAATAAAAAAATAAATGAGACAAATGAAAAATGAAAAATAGGGATTCACTGGCCTGGAAAAACCACTTCAATCAGCTGTGTGGTGGATACCAGGCTAAAAATTAGTGGCGGTCAATTCATCAGCCTTGCAAGCTGTTGACTGGTGTAACCCCAGCACAAGTTGCTATTTCTAACATCTGCTGTTCGCTATCATCGCTTCCGCGATAGGCATGTCTGAGGTGTGTGTGTGTGTGTGTGTGTGTGTGTGTGTGTGTGTACGTTTAAATGTGTGTTGTGCTTATGGCATGTGACCCGTCAGCTAGTATAACTCCACTCTATGCATGGTCACCCACAAAGAAAGTAGCCCCGCAGTCCATTCAGTGTGGCACAATAACTTTTGGTGTCTCCCACGTCTACATGTAGATATCGTGAAAACAATATTACATGCTGCATTGTGGAACCCGTTCAATTATTTCTTGCCACATTTGAGGCCAGACTCGTCTAAGGACAGGTAATTAAAAATTCAGCCAGCAGCATAGTTTGTCTTTGATTACAACCTGGTTTTGGGGGCAACACGGTTTGCTTGGAGCAACGAATCCTTATGTTCTCGTTAGAAGATCACAGCATTGCACTGTGTTTACCGGCAAGAAGTTCATAATAAATTGTCGCAGGCTCAGAGCGATTAGACAGTCGACTCCACGTACGTGTACGTACAACGATATCGCATAATACAGTTTGAACCAACCGTAGTGCCTTTCTGTTACAACGAACTTCGGATATAAAGAACTGCAAGTTGGAGGAGTCGACCGTACATGTACATTTCCGGGATACAAAAACTGAATCGATGTCTCCAAATCGCCCTCTTTCATCTCCACTAGTACTTACGCGAGCACATTACAATCGGCTTGGGATAGTTTCGGAAGGGCTTATCGTGATATATTCCTTGATCGGATCCTTGACTGAAAACAGATGTATGCAAAACACCATGCGTTTGCGCATGGTAGTACACAGCGTGTGGCATACTGTGCGCGGCAATGCTGCTCAGCAACCGGTTGACACAGCGCTCAAGTCCAAAATCGGGTCTCTTGTAAACATCATAATCCAGCACACCGAATCCATGATCTTGGCAGGTGGCATTTGCATCCGAACGTCTCGTTGTGGAGGCACGCCCGCCAGTATAATTCATGGAAATGCCGGCATAGAAATATGTGCTTGTCACTCCGTCCGTTGCTTTGCAGGTGATACCGAAGTCTGTCGGCACAAAAGAACAGAAAGCACAAAAAGCCCGATTAGAAAAGATCTCACTGACCAACAGACCCGCTGCACGATACTATCAGGTTTTGACATGTTCCTTTCTTCTCAGTATTCTCGCTCGCATAGTACTCCACTTCTATGATAATATTGCCTATGCTGTTGCTCATTAGGATTTTGGCAAATTCTATCCTTCGCTTTCATATAACTGGGCCAGGAACCCGTTTGAACTTGCGAAGTAAAATAAAATCAATCAATCAAGAGTACATGTACTCTGTCCAAAAACAGGGACAGGATACGTAGACTGACGTAGGTTACGATAACAGTAACAACCGATTTTTGCACCACTGTTATAGTAACTACTGTGCTGGCAACTGAAATCCGACCCCCTGGGCGGCGCGACGGTGCCGCCCAGGGGGTCGGATTTCAGTTGCAAGAACTGTAGTCTAGTCAAGTATAGTCAAGAGTGCATACACTACGAAATAGCGGTTGCGACTTCGGCGAAGATCTGTAAGAAAAGGTTTGCTCCCCCCACCGGAGCTATTCCACCGACTTGACTTGACTGGCTCACGACTGCCATCCAGATAACACCAGAAATCCATGGAACCTTGGCAAACCTGCAAGAAAGCACCACTCCCTGCTCAATACACGGTGTTTCGGGGAATTCACCCCTCATCAGTTGAGCTTGAGTAGGCTGAGGAAGATTGTGCCTGAAGAGCACCGCTTATAATGCTCTCCAGGCACAAACATCACCAGGGATACACACTTACAGCGAAGGTCCGTTTCCAGCGCGACAAACGCCTCGTGAACACCAGATGGCAGCGTGAGCCAGTGTCGCTCCTGGCTAGCTATTTGAAGATACGCCTCGCCCAAACATTTTAAAAATGGAACAGTGTGCTATTTTGGAAGAATTATAACTGAGAGACCTTCTTTCAGTAGTGCTGCATGATTGTGTGAGAGAATTGTTTCACAGCTACAAGGGTAGTAGTAAGTGGAAAGCAGAGAGCATAGGCGCCCAGCAAAGGACGAGCCGTCATATGTACTGGGTATGAGGTTTGGGCCGATCCTCAGACAAGAACGGTTCTGTCATGCAACTCAAGTACAACTCAAGTGCATGTGAATATCACAGCTTCTGGAATTACATAATTATTATAATTACAATACATACAATCATGTAACTGGCCTTTCATAAATACCCACTCATTAGTGACCACACCGTCCACAGCATCAAATTCAAATACACGCACGTTGACTCAAAAAATACTACCACTGCACTGCACTGTTCCATGTAGCACTGCACTCTTTCCTAAAAAGGAGTGTTCTACAAACAATATTTATTGGCCTTCGTGGTAATTAATACACGTTTTTGAGCCAACAAATGCTGGTTATAAAATACTGTACCAATAAGCCCAATATAATTATTCTGTTTGTTTTGGAAGCGTTATATATTCGAAGGTCGTCCCCTGAACTATGTGTTCACAAGTAAAGTGTTTTGTCACTTCAGTTGTTTCGCTAATCTTCGTGAAAGTGCGAGGAATGCTTCTTCTCATTGATGTGTTCATTATGTTTAGTCATTTCGTCACATTCACCCTGTTGTTGACCTGTTGAGCTGAATTTTACTTTTTCCACGCGTATAGCGTGAGGTTCTCAATCTATGCTTTTGCTATAGCTCCATAAGTAGCTGTATTTGGCATTTTTACATCATTGCCTGTATTTACCCATGATGAGAAGGGAACGATAACGTTCGGTTGCTGAATTGGCTTACTTGACTTTGTGGATTGCGTCGGTGCTGACACCTACATGTATTCTTTCGAAACTGTTTTTTGAATTCTTCTTTTTAGGGAACGTGCAGGTCAACATATGTCTACTAAAATTGATGTAGTAGTCTCAGGAATTATTAAAATTACAAACCAGTATAAAACGCGAGGCGAATTCACCTCTACATCTATTTTTTATTTTATTTTTAATATAGAATGTTAACTGAGCCAGAGTGTTTCTAATAGTGTGTCCATTCAGAAAAAGATGGACTTCTAGCTTTTGGCCATAAATGGGTCAAACGTTGAGTTTTTTAGAATTTTTTCTGCGATTAGGCCTTGAGTCTTGACAGATTATGCTAATATTTTCGTGAAATTATGCTTTTCGCATTGCTGAAAAAATTGCAGAATTATGCTATTTTTATGCTAAAAGTTAACATAATGCCGCAATATGCTCACATATGCTGCTAATTATGTGCATTGTACATGTATATGATGGTTCTGTGCAAAATAACAGATGAATGTTTTTGTAGAGGGCGTTGTACTGTAGTAGCAAAAGTTCAATGCGGTCAACGCACCGTCCGACCTACATTTTGTAGCTACGGCCGCCACCCTGGTCACTGATTGTAGTGGACTGGACATGTTATCAAGGGAGTCGTAAACCTACGCCTTCCTGGTGCATATACTTGTACTTGTACTTGTAGAACATGTACAACTGTATGGAATTTGATGCGAACAGGCTGATTTTTCCAATTTTATGCGATTCGTATGCAATTTGCCTGGAATTAGGCGAGTATTCGATTTTGGTAGGAATTATGCGAAAAATTATGCTAGCATAATCTGTCAAGGCCTATCTGCGATCCCCTATGGAATCCTCTTCCAATTATGTTTCTGAAGTCTATTTCTCCAAAAGGTAAGCCGTAACAAGAATAGGATTTCGGCCAGGTTTTTCCCCAAGAGAACTGAATTGGGAAAAACCATCAAAATCCAGGCCGTTTGAC